AGGCTTAATAAATAAATAAATAAATAAATAAATAAATTAATAAATAAATAAATAAATAAATAAATAAATAAATAAATAAATAAATAAATAAATAAATAAATAAATAAATAAATAAATTTGTTTATGTACTCCTTTTTTGGGGGGGACCACAACAATGATCAAACATGCATTTTTAAAAGTATAATGGCATTTGGGTGCTTATACAAACCAATCTCAATATACTGCAAGTAAGATTCTTGAGAATCACATATGGTAAGAAGGGGAGAAAAATGGATTTAGCTATGTGAAAGAAATTTATACCAATGCACACACCACCCAAATTGAATTTCCAGCTTGACTGATGTGGGGATTTTCATATTACTCAATGCTTCTCTTCCAAGCCAGTACAGGGGCCTTCTGCTTGACTAGAAGGCAATAAACAACCAGTTTAACTGCTTGCAAGCCCCTTTTTGTTAATGAATGAGACAAGCAATTGATTCTACATCCCTTGAGGTGCTGATAACACCATGCCTCAACCTGGCTCTCCATGCTTACGGTCTCCATTTTGGAAATCCAGGAACTCAGCACGCATGGCTACAATATATGGCCAAGTGAACTTCTGACCCTTTCTGCTTCTCACTCCCAACCTGGCCAAGAGTTCAAAAGACCCCAAAAACTTGTTCTCCATCCCACTCTAAGACACACGCCTTAAAATACATTTTGGTGACCTATCAAAAGCATTACCCAAACCTGTTCTTTAATATCACAAACCAGGCAAGGCTATCTTTTCACAACTAAGACCGTACATTTTCTTTACAGAATGAGGTCCTGCAGCACAAGCCTTGGCATATTAACGCAGTACTGTATTATGCCCCGCTAGATTCGCTACTGCTCCTTCCCCATTTCAGAGTTACGGTATCTAGAATTGCAGCTTTACCCTTTCCGCATGATCCACCGCCACCGAGGAGGGCCATGGAAAGCTCCACTTCCAGGAAGAGCTCTGTTCCTATGAAATGACTCCCTTTCAAAGAACCTCTTCTCTCCCGAGACATCATCCTCTGGCTGGCTCGTGATTAAAAATCCGCAACTTCTGCCCTAGTACAGCCACAACGCTGGAGTGCAAACCCTTTAAAAACGAGAAAGCGTCCCGGAAGCTGGGTGGGGACAGGGCAAGTGAACTATAGCCAGGTCTAACGGGAACGCAGGTGGGAAACAGACAAATGTTACTTACCTGTGTGCTCGGCGCTGCGCAAAAATTCACCCCAGATTGACTCTACAGCAACTCAAAGACACGAGTTTTCCGCTCCTGTTTACCTAACCCCTCCCCCCTCCTCTTGTTAAAAGCCCAACACAGCGCAATCCCTCATTGGCTGCGAAGCGTTCTATTTCGGAAGGTTAATTACGCCCCAGAGTTCATTGTCTTATCCAGTTGTCAATCACAAAATACCGTCTTCTTCCAGTTTCTTGTCCAATGAAGAAGAGGGCAAGGCAGGAGCCTACCAATGGCCGGCAAGCTTGTATCAGAATTTCCTCTTTCGGTTTAAAGAGATAGGCTATCAGGAGAGGCGGCTTGGCAACCCGGTATTAAAATCAGGCCGTAGAGATGTACTGTACTGTATGACTTGCGGGTACGGTTGCATAAGGAGGGCGTGCCGTGTGGTTTTCTTCTGATTGTTAAACTCTTCTGATCCACAATGCTATGTCAGTAGGTTAGGGGGCAGGACAAAAAGAGGACTGGGCTACTTCACCTTTAATATAGCTGGCTAGTGTTAAGAATTAAAAATAATCCAAAAATAGAGACAGCAGTTTTGGTTCATGAGGGGAAAAAAAGCAAAAAGAAATAAAATAAAACAGTTACAGTTGGACAATATCTTTATTAGGACCAATTAGAATGCCACAACAGGACACAAGCTTTCAAGTTCTGCAGAATGGTTCTTCAGACAAGCTGAAAATAAGTAAATGAATAAATGTTCTACATATTGGGTGTTGTTGTTTAGTCGTTAAGTCGTGTCCGACTCTTTGTGACCCCCATGGACCAGAGCACGCCAGGCCCTCCTGCCTTCCACTGCCTCCTGGAGTTGCGTCAAATTCATATTGGTAGCTTCGGTGACACTGTCCAACCACCTCGTCCTCTGTTGTCCCCTTCTCTTCTTGCCTTCACACTTTCCCAACATCAGGGTCTTTTCCAGGGAGTCTTCTCTTCTCATGAGATGGCCAAAGTATTGGAGCCTCAGTTTCAGGACCTGTCCTTCCAGTGAGCACTCAGGGTTGATTTCCTTCAAAATGGATAGGTTTGTTCTCCTTGCACTCCAGGAGACTCTCAAGAGTCTCCTCCAATACCACAATTCAAAGGCATCAATTCTTCGGCAGTCAGCCTTCTTTATGGTCCAGCTCTCACTTCCCTACATCACTACTGGAAAAACCATGGTTTTGACTATGCAGACCTTTGTCGGCAAGGAGAAGTCTCCGCTTTTTAAGATGCTGTCTAGGTTTGTCATCGCTTTCTTCCCAAGAAGCAGTTGTCTTTTAATTTCATGGCTGCTGTCACTATCTGCAGTGATCATGGAGCCCACGAAAGTAAAATATTGGGTGAGGGGAAAGCAAAGTCCAAAAATCAGTTCAGATCTCATCACGAGGATAGATCTAGTGCCTCTGGGAATTAAAATTAAAAAAAAGTAACTTCATAATTGTAACAAAAGATTTGAAACACTTGTATTCAAATATAAATCTCACAGATGTCTGTGGGTTCTCCTGCTAAGTTAAGAGGACAACTGAGGTTGTGAGTCATGATTCACTCACTAAACATGGGGTAAGTGTCTTGTGTGCATGTACAAGACACACCGTGTTTGTACATTTTGTGTCTGAAGATTTTTTTTCTGTCCTTCAAAGCTCACCTTTTCCTTCTTTGACCCTTTCCTCCCACACAACATGCGGAGACAGACTAACACAGCTGAACTTTAGGAATCTCACATTTTCCTTTCATTCAGCTGCAGAAATATTCTACACAGGGGGGATAGATTGTGTTTGATAAGCTGAGCTTACATTCAGCTTCTTTCCAACATGTACAGCAACCTGTAACTGTTGAAGAACTTAATGTATCAGTTACATATATTGGCCAGCTGAGATAAAAATTAATGTCATTATGAATCTGTTCTGACGTGATGGTGCATAAAATACAGACAAAGCAGGTAGATGAGTAAACCTCTCAGAACACGGCCAAAGAGCCTGAAAAACCCACAACAACCATTAGATCCTGGCCGTGAAAGCCTTCGCGAATACATTAAACCTCTCATTGTTCATGTCATCCTAACAATATTGAGTTATTAAAAAAGCAGTCTCTCTTCAGCTGAGAAGCTTTCATAATTTTGAGTTCTCAAACAACTAAAAAAATTATGATGAAGGTGATTATCCAAAGCAGCTGGTTTCAGGTTTCATGAAAAGACAGAAATCTATTGCTAAAGATAAGTTTATTATACTAGAGCTTGCTTACATGCATGCTTGCTTGTTATCTTTTCAGAAGATGCAGTCCACAAAAGAAGCCTCTTCAAAATGTGATTTTATTAAAAAATACTTTTTTCGTTGTTGTTGCTCAAGAAGAAAATAATGTTTGTCGGGTTTTCTGTCTCAGATGCCTAAATTGCTTTGGATATTCTGGAGGACAGCCACCATCTGCTTTTCTGGCTCAGGCAGCAGAATGTCTTGGGTTGATCTTGGTTACAAAGTAAATATGATGTATACAGTACATATTTTTTCTTCTTACCTCATCTTTGCTAACACTTTATCCATTTTAACGTAATATGTGTAGCTCACCCATACAGAGACCAAAACAGATAATGGAGAGTTATCAGACTAGGTCAATGCTTTTTTCTGTATTGCAAGATTCTGAACAAAGAACTAGGTTTTTAGCACAGTATTGGACTATTCTAGCATAATGCTGGCAAGGCTTAAATGAGTGCTTCTCCACATCTGATACCCATCTGATATTAGACTTTACTTTTTGTCTCTTCTGACACATGTAATGGCAACATGTCACTGAATGGTGTCCCATTAGCTTGTTCTTTTTTAAAAAATGAATAACTGGATTTCCACTGTGCCTGTTTATGTTCTGGGAACATATTCACAGATTTTTTTTCCACCCCTCCATTTCTACAGAGCAACTACAAAAAAGCCTGTAGGCTTAATTCACATGCAAGCTTTCTTAATGTATCACATGCTAAGCATCTGACTCTAGAAAGCACAATCCCCCCCCCCATTGATTTCTTGAATTGTATTAACAGAGCTCAGCTATGGGAATATTTTTGAACAGTAAAGCCCAGAATTCTTGTATGTTTTCCATCCCTGATCCTATTAGACTAAACTGAACCCAGGGAGGTTCAAGCTCCATTTATAGGAAAGGGAAAATATAGTTGACCTTTCCTTTTAAAATGTTTTGAATCAGATTTTTAAAAATGTAAACTGAATAGCTAGCAGACTGGAACATCGAACAGGAGCACTGCATATTGCAAATGCAGCTGACTTTCATGTATAATTCTGCAAATTTCTTGAAGCATTTTTGTAAGTCTGACTCTAGACACCTATTGCTGATAAAAAAGTAGAATTCAAATATGACCAAATAAGTCATAGCTTCTTAGAGTACAAGAATCTTATATTGGAATTTTCCATTACATGATTATATCTCTGAATAAATAAAATTAACATAGCAAGATGTCTGGAAATATGTCTATATGTCGTAACTATGTTTGCCATTCCCAGTCCATTGTATGACACAGTACAATCCATTTCATTGCTTCAGATCTTCAACGTAGCTTTTCTGGTGCTAACAAAGTATAAACTGTTGGCAGGCTGTTGTGTCTACAACAGCTGGTGCAATGAGATTTTATTTATTAGTTATATTTTATTCTAACATGCCTCCAATGAACTCAAGATGGTATATGTGGATTTTCATAACTTTATTTTCATAACAATCTTGCAAGGTTGGTTGGGTTGTGAGGCAGTGGCCGGAATCCTGTTGGAGATTTGCACATATGTAAGTAGAATCAGGATAAAATGCTGCTAAATAACAAGGTGCTGCTTATATTACCAAGCACACACCTGTTGCACAATCAGATGAGTGCGGAATGAATATGATAGAATGGGACTCATCTGGTCTGAGGTCATCCAATGAGTTTTGTGGTTTAATGAATTGAGTGGGAGGATTTCTTAAGTCCTGTTCTATCACACTTGACTGGTGTAACCCATTAGCTCACCTACATACAAAAGAGTCTGCCCCAGTTGTGTGTGTGTGTGTGAGGGAGTTGATGACTTGAGAGGTCTATACGTTAGAACATGGAACTCAGTTGCTCATAATGGCCAAAATCCTGTTGGTGTTAACTGTACACCATGCTAGGTGGATAATACCATCAGCTGGCAAAGGAAATCTTTAATTCAAATCTTCCCACTCTTTCCTTCAGGTTCAAGGACTCCCTGGGGATCCTTTTTGCCCTGCAGAAGTCTTTTAAGAGCCATGAGATGGTGGATGGGAAGCCTTTCATATCAGGACATTAAAGTTGTCCATCACAAGCTGATGAGAGCATCCTTGTTTACACAATTGTAAAGTTGTACCACAGGATTTCAGCCTTTATCTCAGCTTGCACTGCAAAATACTGCTCAAGTCACTAAACCAATTAGTGAAATCATTAAAATCGTATACAAATTGAAACCACTGAGCATGGAAGACAGATTACCATAGTGTTAGTGAGTGCAAGCAAAAAGCACGGAATAATGAAGCTAAGCATGCGATGATATCTGAGAATATCTTTAGATAAGGATTTGCTGATTCAAGTGCTTTGAGTATATTAACTATTACCTCTCGTTATGTATCATACATCCACAGCATATTGGCACTGACAGCTTTCCAGTACTCCACATTTGTGGCACTACAGTGCCTTTGTTAGATTTCAGTGGAAATCCTGTGAAGGCTGTCTACGATTCATCTTTGTCATTATTCCTGTACAGCTTTGTCTTTATTTTACATCCCCGTCATGCCAAGATTCCCAGTCTGAGCTATCTCTTAATCTGTCTCTTTGTTTGCTAGAAAAACAGATGGCTAATCTACTCAAAGGCTATCAGAAAATGTTATCTCCATTCACAACACATCATCAGATAACACCTCTGTGTTCTCACAGGCTGCTGTAAGCTGACTTGAATGTCATTTGATTGAAGGGTGGTATATAAATCTTCAAAATCAGTCGGGCAGTCATTGTGGAAACCATAATAATGAGCTAAATGGATCTGTGGTTGAATATAGGATGGCTTGTCTTGTGTGCTTGCAAATAAAGGGGACCCACATGAAACCAATGTGTTTAATTGTCTGTAGATCCACAAGTATCTCCTCC